AATATCTCAGTCCGGGCTACCTGCCTGTCGTCTCAAAAGTTAAAATCCGAAACTTTTTCAGTGGTGTGACATCTTTCGCAAAATATCTTCGCAAGGTACACCACCTGCAGGTAATTTTGGGACAAAATTTTTTAGTTTTTCTTGTAGCCCCAACATTTTTCTTTTGAACAGCTAAAACCGCAACTTTTTAGCTGGTTCCTAGAAAAAGTTATTGAGAAAATGACCATCCTTTTTCTATTTTGAAATGGATAGTAGGAATCTGATCTCATTTAAATCGATTTACTCTTTCCGCTCACTAATCTCATCCTTAGTATGATGTGACTCTAATCTGTTTATTTTCAGTGTTTAACACAAGTATAAATTTTTTCAAAGAGAACAAGTTTATAGAGAAAATACTTCTCTACAAGATGAGCCATTTTACGTTTAAAAGGTCTCAATTTGGAATAAAGAGTTTGTTCTTTTTACATATTGTGTACACTGTTCATAATTTGTCAGTATATATACCATAACAATTATATCTTAGGTTTATACTCATCATCATCTCATACGATATAAAACATTCTTCGATAATTTTGGATCGTGCACTGGATAATGAGTACCATTATCATTAATATCACTGCTACCAATTATGACATCATCTTTTATTGTTGTTAAACAGGAACAAGAATTACGAGTACAGAAGCATTTTTGCGCTCCATTATTATTTAAGCGTTTTAAACGATAAAAGTAACTATTATATAATATACCACCCGGATTATTTTTCAGTTTTGGTACAAGAAACATGTAGAGTTGCAGACGTAGTAGGATTCGCGGAGGAAATAATCGAACTCCATTTTTATAGTCCCACTCGATCCAGTAATGTCGTTTTAAGATCAACTTAGTTTTAAGCATCAGGCTTGAAAAATATTTCAATAAGTTTTTGTGCCTACAATTGCCAATCATTCCTAATTAAAGAGTGATTCGAAATTTTAAATAGCGTACAAAGTATGTGAATAGAACAAACTGGCTACGTCTCAAAAGAGATACAGATCCATATTTTACAATGTATCTGTTTTAATCAATTAAAAAGTATCTCTTCTGACAAATGAATATTTTGGCAAGAAATTGCATTTCTCAAAAGAGGTATATTATCTCTCATTTCTATATTCCAAATAAAATTGAAATTAAATATGAGGTAGAAGCAATCAAGATTATCATAAGGGGGGGGGGGCTCATTTTTTGTTATGAAGAGTCGATTATAGCGTCGATTCTTAACATCAATTTTATAAAGAGAANCCCCCCCCCCCCCCCCCCCCCCCCCCCCCCCCCCCCCCCCCCGCCCCCCCCCCCTCATTTTTTGATATGAAGAGTCGATTCTAGCGTCGATAGAGAACATCAATTGTATAAAGAGAAACCCTTTTTATCGTTCCCGAATGAGGTTTAACGCAGAAAGTTAACGTTCACTTGCTCGAGGAAACTTCAGAGTTAAAAGTATTTTTCACCTTACTCGTAGGACATTTGCAGAAGGGCATGTGATACAGAAGGACACACTATAGCGGGAGTAGAACACACTATAGCAATGCAGAGGATGGGGATGGGAACACCTCAGAGTTTACTTTTGGACAATTTAGTCCAAAAGTAAATTCTTTGCATTTGAATTCAAAGTTCAAGTGTTCGATTCTATCAACTGTGTAGTGTTCTTTTGTGTTTTGCTTCTTTCTGTTCTATCCTTACCTCTCTCTCTCTCTCCTTATCTCTCTCAGGAAAACAGCGTTAGGTCGATCGAGTGCTTTTTTGTTTCCGACAAGAGTGGTTTATGTACTGCAACATTTGTTTACTTCAAATTTGTACATATGGCTAAAATATCAACAAAAAAAGGCACAATACTAATAGAAAGCACTAAATCTAACGAATTTTTGATATTAATAAAGTGATTTTATATGTTTGTTTTTTATCAATTTCTTCTATTCAGGGGACGAAGTTTTCCTGGGAGCCCCAGGACTCCTCTTCATTTCGGTCAATGAATGTCAGCAATGCATATAAACATAAGTTTCGACTATGGTGAATCTCGTGGCAATATTTGTTGTTAAAAAAAGATTCTAAAATCTAGCAGAAAAACCAAGTTTTTCGAAAATTAGGGTTTTCCGTCTGTTTTCACCTATTAGTAAAAAATTCACAATTCACTTAAAAAATATCGGAACTAGTTCAGGACGTACAGTATAGGCTGTTTCTATTCTGCTTAATAGAGCGCAACAATATAATCGTCATCAGCTCGAAGTCCTCGATTCAACGGTGGATAATATGTTTGTAAATTTCACTCGAACTTTGAATTACGTACATGTTACACTTTCCTAAAACCTTTTGTCTATTTAGATGGAATTTACCATCACGAAGGATGATGAAATTGCGAAATTCCAAACAAAAAAAAACAAAAACCTTTCTATCTGTCGATCTGGCTAATAACGCGAGTTTTCCAAAAATTTCCGAAACTGATTTTTTCATTTTTTTAAACAGAAAAACAGAAATTGAGTTTTTTATTTTTTTAGATCCCTATCAGGAACATTTGCTTTCCAGAAAATATCAGGTCGAAAGACACATTTCTGTTCTTCGACTTTTCCAAAAATCTGAATCTTAACTCCTCTTTTCACCAGCCAACTTTTTTTAATCAAGACCTATCTGTGATCACATGTGCAGTTATTCTTTATTCACTATAAGTATTATGAACTGGAAGCCTGCACAAGTAGAGAAAACTATGTAATCCACATCCCAACTAGACCGTCATTTGGAACCTCATTTGACCCGGGTCGAATCAGGTTCCAAACACCATAGGTACCCGACGTCGGTGGATAATATGTTTGTAAATAAATTTCAGTCGAACTTTGAATTACGTGCGTCTTAGGAAAAGATAACCTCAAAAAAGTGTGCTGATCTCAAATAATTTCTCGTTTTTTGCTGAAAAGATTTTAATTGAAACAACCTTAAAACCAGAGATTATAACTGCTATGTAAAAATTGGTACTCATCTCAAATCATCAATTAAACTCGGTATTTTAAGATTATCAGATGATTGCCTTTTAGCTTTAAATATTGTTCTATAGCAGATGATATTTTTCGCTGTCGAACGTATGGTTAACTATATGCAGAAGATCAATGTAGAAAGGAATTCTTTGCTTTCGACCCAGTTAGGACACGCGTGACAATAACTGAACGCGTCATAGTTTCTCTTTTCTGCATACCATTATCGTGTCAATCTGTGCTATAATCATTTTATTTTCTTCTCATATACAAGATTGTGTCAGTCTTTTCTGTTTGTTCAGTTGTATTATTCTGCCTTAAAAGAGGCACGACAACATCGAGAGTATCCATTTAACTTGTCTAGATATACTAAAATCACCCACTGAGACCCGTAGAAGCTATTAGCCTTACTTCGAAGACGTAAGTTTAGTGTTCTAAGTTATTTTTTATTGTTCCAGCTTATTCCCTGCAGCAGAAGAGGGCAGAAACAATGAGTTTCAGCGTAAATCGTTTAAATTACACAAAAAACGTTCATTATTAAAACGTGATTGTTGACAGGGATTTCCGGGATGGCATTGGTGTCATGGAGATAATCGATTTAAATGCAGCAATCCCCCGCTTTTGGAAGGACAAAAATAATCTACAACATAAGAAAAGTACAGAAGGATGTTTTAAGCGGCAAACTGAATGATTGAGAATTTTAAATATTTTAACTAAACCATATAAAATTCGTCATTGATGTATACAGAAGAATCTCTTTCAATAGTATGCACTATCAAGGATAACATCATACTCTGAGGATATTGATACAATCACAAATATACTTTCCTTCTTGATCAGAAAAATAACATCCAGTTGATAATGTTCTTTGCTGTTATGTCTTTACATCTGTTTACCAAAATTGGAAAAAATCATGTTTTTCAGTGATGTTGCCGCTTCACAGTTTAAGCAATGTTTTATATTTGGCAATTTGACAAGAATGTCAAACGAACATGGTTTAAAGTTATCTAAAGTTGTATCGGTCAAACCGTCAGACCATTGCCATTGTTTCATTCATTAGTTATTGTTTCTTTTCAAAAGCTTTTCCATCAAACAGTTAAACTCTGTCATGGAGTATACAAAATGACTTCCTTAAAAAATTAAATTGTTGAATGATCTAAGATAATCATGTGGTTTTAGTTCGTACTTAACTACTAGATTATAATCTCCTATAAATGCAACATAAACATTCGCAATTTCTTTCGCAAAATAGAATTCATTTGCTTAGTAAAATGTCGATAGCGATTAAATACTTTCTTCGGCCAAATTTTGTTAATTTAACACTTGATAACATCTAGCTAAATGCTCATGACTTTTGTCTATTACTTGGCAGCTCTTGAAAAGCTCTATCGATCAATCATAATTGGAAAACTTTCATACTCATCTTTTCGGCGTACACCAAGTAACTTGCCTTTCAGATTTTCGAGAATTTAGCTCTTTCATTCTGCAGTTTCGTCGCTCCTGGGAAAATGCGCATAATTGACCCTAAATAGCATCTTTTAAGTCCAGATTCTTTCCATTTCGATGCACCAGATTCGAAGGCGAAAATAGGCCTAAAATTTTCGTTTTCAATTCAACTGGCGATAAATATCAATTTTTGAGTCATATTGAATAGGATTTTAAAAATTCACGTATTTCGATCTTCATTTTGATTACAACAAATTCTGAGCTACGTAACAACAAAGAGCAAAGTATGAAGAACTCAAAAACATCTTTGTTTTTGTTTCGTTTTGTGTGCTAGTGTGAAAAATATTCCAAATTTTATTTTAAAAAATGGCTCTAAAAGTTGGCTCATTAAACATATTGAATATTCCTTTTTTATCAAGAAAGCATTTGATGCAAGTCTTGTCGAAAATTAAAGAGCGGATCTTTTGAAAAAGAATACAAACCTAAAGAATAAAAAATGAGGAAGTTATTGAAGAAACACTGAGAGGCTCGTTTGACCATCCGTTAGAATAAAATTTGTGGCTTTGTGTGAAAAGTCTTTCAGTAATAACAACAACGTAATCCGGTTTTTTTCCACGACTTTAGCACTTCACTCTTTCTATTGTTTTTCTCTTTCTGTGTTTTCTCGAAAATATAACAAAAATAATATTTGTAAAGAGCTGTATCGTTGATACTTTATTTGAATTTATTTCATTCACGATGGGTATTTTCTCACGTGTGATTGTCATAAATCCATCATATACAAATAGAATGTTTTTCTTATTTCATCATGAAAATCAAATACATTGAAGAGAGAGAGAGATAGCAAAAAAATAAACAGAAATGATTTATATCACGTAACGCAACCCAAAAAGTCAGAACTATAGTAAGTTAAACTGTAGAAAATAAGTTATTATTCTGACTCTAACTAGACTTTAATGAATATAGAAAAAAATTTATAAATGCTTCCAGGCCTTTGTTTTGTCTACAAAAGAACTGAACGAACAAATTTTTCTTTTCTCTATAATTTTTTAAGTTTTCTTCATATACGTCATATATATCATTTCTGTTTATTTTTTTGCTGTCTCTCTCTCTCTCTCTCTCTCTTCAATGTACTTGATTTTCATGATGAAATAAGAAACACATTCCTTTTGTATCGGATGGATTTATGACAATCACAAGTGAGAACAACAAGAGAAAGAGTGAAGTCAAGTCTTTTTGTCATCTGACATGATGCTATCAAGTAAAACTCTAAATGATGGTAGATTGATCAACAGTATTTGTAGACGTCTATCTCCGGCAAAAGAACTCTTTACATGTCCAAATTAACCAGTGTGGTACGTAAGTAGATAACATTGACGATGCGCCAAGGGGGAATTAGCGGACTTCGGGAATCCCGGACTCTCAGGAGTACAATGGGACTCCCAGACTAGG